AGGGAGTCCTGTGGGGCCAGAGTAATTATTGAATGATTGAAGATGTAGACCTTGGGGCCGAGGTGGCGGAAAGGTGGCAGAACACATTTCTCGCATATACTTAAGCCCAAATTCTACCCCTGAGAGTGCTTAGCTCCCAAGCATTGGCGAGAGTCACTCTGGCCCTGGCAATGAGCCCTATCAGGTGTGACCCCACAACAAAACAGATTCTGACATTCTGCCCCCAAAGGTGTAAAGTGCTCCAACAGTAAGGACAACTCTGGTATGAGCATGCCACATTGCCCTTTGAGATATTTGAGATCGGGGTTTACGGGCATGTACAGAGACACATTAGAATGGAATACTTCTGTGAACACAGAATAAACATTTACTCACTCTCATAGATGCTCTTTGGATTAGTTAAATTTACTTCCATGGAAATTGACCCTATTCCCACCCATGTATGTGTAACTTGTGATACTTCATAGTATTTCTACATGATGTGGTATGTATCTACCAACTAACAACATGAAGCTTGTTTAGTTTTTTTTTTACAAGCACTCAGTTTTCCTCCTGACTAGACAAAAATTGAATCTCAAATAAATTGCCTTTTCAATCTGTCTGATTAAAATAATAAAAAAAAAGCCTCTGATTTTTTAGTTAACATGAAACTCATGTGATAAAGAAGAGCGAAGTTTATAGGACCATTGGTAGAAAATTCAGGCTGACTTTCTATACATTTTTCATAAGTCATTTTATTTATAGTATTTGTTTATACCATAGCTTATGAAATAACATATCATATCATATAAAATGTGATAAGATAATAAATCTGACTTATTTTAGGCTGGATTCCAAATTAGTTATGAGGGAAATCCTGAATGTTAGTGAAGAAAATGGTTTATTTTAATTTTTCTTAATACATAAAAATCATAGTCTTGAAATGTGTTGTAAAGAGGCTAGGAATAATTTAGATGAAAAATTTCATGCATATTTTTTCATGTTTATATTACTCAACCTTTCAACTTATGGTTGATTAGGTCAGAGATTCTCAACCCTGGTTAGATCTTAGAATTCTTTGGTGAGCTTTTCAAAATGTACAGGCAGATCCATTGCCAAGTCTTCAGAATCTCTGGGGATGAGGTTTTGGCATTAATATGTTTGAAAACTTCTCTTCTGGTTTTAATAAACAAGTAGAGTGGATTATCACTGATCTACACCCAGAGAATTTAGTTTTTGTTTGGGAGGGCCCCATCTAGCAGTAACAGGATTTGAACCAGGGTTGTGGTGGTCACAACCATAAACTACGTAAAAACCTGTCCCCTGTATTATCTTTTTAGCCCATTGTCTCACAATTTCATGCTGAAAACCTAGATCCTAGGTTCAAGTTCTGGAAGATGCCAATGACGGTCTACTACCGGCAGGGGGCAGTAATGAAAAACTAAAACCAGGACAGATGCCAATCCTGATTCCGAAGCTCAGTAAATGCTCATGAGGCACCGAACTAAATCTTATTAGACAGGAGTTCTTGAAAATTATTCTCGATGCTGGGGAAAGAGAGAGAGAGGGTGGGGTGAAGGAGGGAGAGGGAGGGAGAGACAGAGAGAAGACAGAGAGAGGGAGAGAGCAGTGGACAGGAAGACAGGGCACTTGCCTTGACCGGGTTTGATCCTTGACACCCCAAGCCTGTCAGGAGTGAACCTTGAGCATCATCAGTATGGCCTCAAAACAGAATAAAACAGATAGGGGGAAAAAGTGATAGAAAATTATTCTCCAGGTTACATATTTGGGTTTTCCCTGAAACTTATACTTGGGTCCAATATTTGACAAACATCATAACCAAGTATATGAAAGCCTTGGAAATAAGGGTAAGGGGTAGGAGTTGAGGGTATGGGGAGAAGGAATCCCAAAATGAAAGCATTTCCTTTCTCCACGACTTCTTTGCCCCACAAAATGCAAAGTTATGAGGAGAATTATATCTCTCTCTATATATATAAGGCAAATGTCTTATCCACAGTACTACCTCTCTAGTCCCAAGAACCGTGGAATTTAAAATCAAAGGTGGAAGAATCTTAATGCTACGACAGTGTGGCCTTCAGAATATCCATATCTCAGGACCGGAACAATAGCACAGCAGGTACGGCATTTGCCTTGCATGCAGCCTACCCAAGTTCGATTCCCAGCATCTCATATGGTCCCTGAGCACCACCAGGAATAATTCCTGAGTGCAGAGCTAGGAGTAATCCCTGTGTATTGCCTGGTGTGATCCAAAAAGAAAAAAAGAAAAGAATATCGATCTCTCTAAATCTCAGTTCCTCATTTGTAAGGTTGGATTTAAATGGCAATGGGGACCAAAAATATAAATACTTTTAAAATTTTTTTCAAGTGCTCATGCTCATTAGTTGTTTTATAAGTTGGTTTTCAGAGATACTGGGATTTAAGCTCAATCCTGCAGTAAGACTTTTTTTGGAGTTTTTGAAGGGGAAGTAGCACCCACAACATAACAATTCATTTCCCTTCTGCCTTTTTGGGCAGAAGGTAGAGGGCTGGGGGTGACACCCAGCGATGCTCAGGGCTAACTCCTGGCTCTGAACTAAGGATCACTCTTGTTGGGCTTAGGAGAGCATAGGGGGTTCTGGGAGTCAACCCTAGGTTGGTTGCATGCAAGGCAAACTTCCTACCCACTATACTATGGCTCCAGCCTATAATCTTTTCTTAAACCCTGCCCCTCTACAGACTTCGCCTAAAGACTGTAGTCTAGCGAAGACCTCGATTGATTATCACTCTGGTTTGAGAATAACACTGCACTGTATAGCACTGTCCTCCCGTTGTTCATCGATTTGCTCGAGCAGGCCCAGTAATGTCTCCATTGTGAGACTTGTTACTGTGTTTGGCATATTGAATATGTCACGGGTAGCTGGTTTGAGAATAGACACCCAAATGTCTTCAGTGTTCCAAATGCCTGTATGTACCTTGGTTGGATTTTTTTTTTAAGGAGGAGAGGTCTCTCAAGCAACAGCTAATTGAAGTTTATAATTTAACTAAAATTCCTTGGATGTGACTAAAATAGAACACTCTCTTTTTTTTTAGAACACTCTCTTCTTAACAATTAGGAGAACCTCTGCGTTTCAGACTTGTGGAGAATCACTGAGTTTTAAAATGTTTATATTCCCATATCCTCTTGCCCCCAAAGACTTAATAAAGACTCTGGCTGGAATTAAATTTACAATTTGGTGACTGGACATTTCATTTTTACTAAGATGTTATCTAATCCCTTAAAAGTACTGTATTCCATCTATGTAAATATCTACAATTTGCAGATGTCTGTCTTGACTCCAACAATTGCAAAAGACTATGGATGATATTTGGCCTCCCAAGAGCCCACAGTTTTGTTTACAGCTATGGTCACTGTTATTGTCAAGCATTGCAATCAACTTTGTAAGCCTCAGCAGTCAGCTGCTTGGGCATTTCATGCCACAAGGCCTGACTCTGATCAAACTTTCTTTTGCTTATATGCTGTCACTACCCTAAGGCCCACCATGGCACTGGAGTGAGCGATGGGCAGACACCAGGAGAATTGTTTCATGCTCTGCCTCAACTCCTTGACATCAGCCACTTGAAGATTCTGGCAAAATCCATGAAGGACTGAAGTTTAGAACACTCGCATGGAGAGAGATTGAAAGACTACGGAAAGTCCAAAGCCTTGTGTAAACCAACTCGGTAGCAAATCAATGACTTGAGCCTAGGACACTGGACACTCAGATTCATTGAGTGAATACGTAAGAGGCATCTAAAAGTTCACAGAATTCCAAATGGGTCTTCAAGGCTGCCCTTGAGCACCAAGTCCCCAGAATAGAAGGACCTTGGATTATATGTCAAGGTCAGTCCAGGAAAGAAGAAACAGCACGGAGAGTGAGGAGCTAGAAGAGAAAAGAAATGGAAAGATCTTATAAGCCCTTTACCTACTTGCCTAGGAACTTTTCTACCTTGCCCAGACCTAGTTCTTGAAACAAAACAAATTGATTTACCCAAATCTGAGTGTATTCAGGCTTTCTGGACATCGAAACACACTATAATGGTCTGGATTAGGGTAAGTGAGATGAGCAAGTGGGGATTTATAAATCATAAAACACTAAACAAGCATAACGGAGATTACAGCTCATTATTTATTTTAATCTGAGAAAGCCCGGGCTTTCCTTTGTACTCTCAGAATTTTGAACTAAAATGTGGCTGATCAAACTTGTCAAACCATACCAAACCGTACTTGGGAATTGAAGTAGAGCTCGTAAACATAGATCAGCCTCTCTTAATCTCCTTCATCACAAGGAAGACCCCAGCTGCTCTAAGTAACAAAAACACTCACTACTTCTTCATTCAAAGGTATGGAGAAAGTATATCTCTTCTACTGGAGTCAAATCTACACCTGGCTTGTACTGTAAAGGCTTACCAAGTCCAGGAACAGAGAGACGGTTGTGAGAGTAAGCCTCATGAAATGAGCTGATTTCAGGCAATTGGCACTTGAAGTTCTCCAAGTTAAATACCCGATTTAGATATAATACTTGACTTGGGACCAGTAATCTCAGGTAGTAAAGACATTTAGACAGAATGGCAATCCTGTCCTCATGATGCAGCCTAGCATGAGTATGCTGGTGCCAGGCCCAGCTGATAATAATTAGGAGAGCAGCTAATATTTTCTTTGAGGTCAGCGAAGGTTGTTTTTCCAAACTGCATATATTTCCTTTCCTAATAATGGGTTTTCAGGAGTCAAAAGCTACTTGTGTGAGAAGTCAAATCTCACATGTAGGTGTAACAAATATCTACAACCAGCATCTGAATGAACTCAGACCCATAGTGCTAAAATAAAATAAATCTGTACCAGAAGAAAATCTGGGAACTTTATTAAAGATTAGGGATAGAACGATGATACTTCTATGAACAGAAGGATGTTCTGTTCAATAGAAATAACCTCTGAGGCATCTGTCCTAGAATGAAGTCTTGAGCTTTTTATTTTATTATTGGAAAATGAGGTGCTGGGGCTTGAACCCAGGATCTTATGCATATCAGGCATACACTCTACCACTGAGCTACCTCCACAGTAAATCCTAATACAGTCTAATACATGATCTGAAGTTGAAATACTCTAACTTGATCATTATGTTAATTGTTTGCAGAGAATTGTTTTTGATTCAATTCATTGCTCCATGAAACTTCCCTCAATCCATTCAGAGTGGGTTACTGTCCAGAAAAAAAATTTTGATTCTATCAAAAATAAATTTTGCAGGGTTAGAGTTGTGGGATCAAGGTCTATACCTGGGGGAGAAGTATCATACCTAGTGGTTCTCTAGGAGTACTCCCAGCTATGTATTTGGGGACCACTCGTAGGAGTGCTTGGAGAATGCTTGGGGGACCATATGGTGTTGGGAATCAAACTGGCCCTGGCCACATGAAAGGCAAGTGCCTTAACCCCTTACTATCTCTTCAGCAACTCCAAAGCAAACACTTAATGAACTGCTTTCTTCTTGGAAATTCCAGTTCTTTGCCCCCAATGAGGTTGAGGATTTTATTTTGAATGATATTTTTTTAAATTCAATTTAATTATATAGAGAAATGTCTTCATTTTACTCCTCTCCATGAAGAATGCAGATGGGTCATTAGAGGATATAAAATGGAAAGTACTAGGGATGGGGGAGTGGGGAGATGCTGTAGTTGTTGTTTGTCTAGTTCTGTTGGTCGGCTATTCTCAGTACCAGGTATTCAGATGTACCCCCAAGTTTTCTCTATTACCACTTAGTTAGATGATCTTCTCCCTGTGCTCCAACTCTCCCTCACCATGCTGTTACTTATGTTCAAGTTTTGGTAGCTGGCATGCACGCAGAGACCTAGTGCAGTGTCTTGGCGGTCCAGTGATAAGCCCGTGTTTCCTGTCTCGGATTATGGCCCTTTGAACAGTCAACTGTGTTTCTGCACTCAGAATGTGCATACTGTGGGTGATGAGGTGGTCTATGGGCTTACAGTCTTTTGGCTAGACAGCCATGCAAGAATTCCCCCGACTCCGTTTGCTAGAACCTTCCTTTTTCAATGCCCGCTTTCATGGCTTCCCTTGTCTCCCGTATGCTTACTTACATTCCTCAGCTAGCAGCAGATGAGGTTTCTGAATCTTGGTCTTCAGCGACCTATTGCGCTGGTAGCTTTTGGGATCTTTGACTGTGTGTCATAGAATGCAACAACTGTTTCCTCTTTCAATATTTGTACACACATATTTCTGTAATGTTTCAGGATGCTTGGAACATAGCAACACCCACATTCCTTGGCCGATGATTCAAGTGCTAAAAAAACTGTTAAATTTGATTTAATTCTGTTTTTTTTATGAGGAGAGAAACAGAGCTCCAAGTTCTATAGGGTGATGCACGAATTCTGGGGTTGAGGCTCATCTGGGGACCTCCCTCCCTCCCTAAAATGCAAAAGCAAAGCCTTGCAGATGGCAAATTCCCCTCTCTAGATAGGACTCACCACACCCACCACCAAAGTTCCGCTCACCATCCACCACTCAAAAGACCCTTCTACTCACCCTTTACAACCATCTCCCTTCCCCTCTACTGTCACTGTCTTCCTTTTGTTCGTTGATTTGCTTGAGCAGGCCCAGTAACGTCTCCATTTTGAGACTTGTTGTTACTGTGTTTGGCATATTGAATACGTACGTCACAGGTAGCTTGCCAGGCTTTGCCACCCAGGGCGGGATATTCTCGGTAGCTTGTCGGGCTAATTTTCACCAAATCTAGGAGTTAGTTTTGTAGTTTTTGTTTGGCTGATTTGTTGTAGTCCCAGAGTTTGTTGTCGTTGTTTAAAAAAATGTTAATTAGGACCCTCATTCGTTCTGAGAAAGGCCCACAGACCATGCTGATAAATACAATAAAGAGGAGCTATTTGGGCTTCTCTCCACTCACTAAGCCATCTTCTGGAGCAAGCTCTGTCTAAGCACAGAAAGAAGTCCATGAGTACAAAAGTCCTTCTGTGAGTGAACTGAACATTCTGCAGCGGAAAGTTTCTGGGTACTGGGGAGAGATAAGGCAAAGACTTTGTTCCAAACAATGGCCCTTTTCTCCATCCCTTTCCTTTGTTCCCCCCTTCTTTCTTCCTCTTTCCTTTCCTCTTCTCTTTCCTTCTCCTAGATTCCTCATCCATCCTCTCCCCTTCCTCCGTATTTTCACCCCCATCCTCTTCTTCCTTTAGGATTTACCACTATATAATTTTTCTCCTTTAGTAATACAATCTCCCTTTTCAGAAGCCGATATGAAGCTTGCTGGTACCTATTTTTAGAAGATATAGTTAGCTCAGTCTCAACCGTTAGCGGGACTCAAAAATGAGAGTCAGAACTTCAGAAAAGCCAAACAGGCCACAATCTCCCTAGTCTTGGCATGACTTGAGAGTCCTGCCATTGCCTTTCTTATTTCCAAGACGACTATGAAACGCATGATTTTGTAAAGCAGTGGGAAGATCATGGCTCAGACTCTAATAAGGGAGAGTTTCTCTCCCACCCCATTTCAACACCCCACAAACCCTGTTACAACAGTCACCGACGTCTCCTGTCCCGGCAAATTCACAGTCACCTCACATGGCTAAGATGCTGGAGTGTGGGGGCAGGTGGAGGGTGGAAATCTCTAAGAGTTGATTATCAAATTCAGTCCCCGGGGTAACTTGCAGCCTAGAAATGAAGCAGAGTTTTGAAGAAGCAGTTGGGGAACGTGAGGGCAGCAAGACTAATTTCGGAGGTTGCTAACACAGATGAAGCTTTTTACAAGCAACGTCTTTCATTCTTTTATCATGAAGCTGACCAGCTGCTCTGTTAGACCTGACACTGTAATCAGACCAGTAATGTGGCAGTTGGTTAGTAACATCCTCTCTCACCAAGCCAGGAAATGATGGAAAATGTTTTCGTGGACGGCTTTGGGATAAATAAAGGGAAATGCACATTATCTTTCCAACGCTGAATAGTAAGGATGGGAATGTAGCAAAAAACGGTTGGATGATTAGTAGTGGGGGTTGAACCTTGCCTGCTTCTCTCCATCCTCCTGGCTAATCCAAAGAGAGGAAAGAGAACAACTGCTCTTTTCTTCCCTCAAAGTGGTCTTACTTTTTGCACCTGACCAGGGCCCAGATCTTAGGTGGTCTAATAGGGGATTGGTCCACTTTCCACCTGGGGTCCTCCCTCTGTTAAGTCTCTGGAGGCAGGGAGCCTGAGAATTTAGGAGGAGCTGGGTCCAAAGCCCTCTCCTGGGAGTAGGAAATGAGCAGTTCTTTTTACTCAAGGTCACCCAACCTCTATGTTTTAATGTCCAATTCTCCCCAAAGCCACCACAAGTCTGCAAATACATCTCTTTCATTGCCACCTCGCAAGCTCTCTGTCTTCTCTGTGCAGTCGAGAAAGCAGATACTACAGAGAATGAGCAGCTTGTGAATGTACCAAAGAGGTCCCAGAGATCTGCCAAAGACCTAACGCATCATATCACTAAGCTGAAATCTAGAAACTGCAGCTCTGAAATCAAAACCCTTATTTAGCTACTGATGCAATCCATCGGCCTGACCAATCACAGGTAGCGACACTTCTCATCAAAATGAGTAATTGCATTTGGGGGTCGGTTTCACTTCACTTCTGTGCACTCAAATCTGCCCAAGGATGATCAAGAATGACAGTGCTTTGCTCACCCTCTGATTGCTTCACCCCCTGGTGGGTTGTTCCTTTGCTAGTGGCACTTGGCCCCACTTTACAGGTGATACGATGATTTCAGAGAATATCCCTTTCAGGGACTGATTTATTCTTTGTTCTGACCTCCCTTCCACACCTAAGATGGAGGGATTTCTCCTAATTTATATATGAGAAAAAAATTTCAGTAAATATTAAGCTCTAAATCGATAAGAAAATACCCTCCAGACATTTAACCATGTGCCCTAGAATAGAACTGACCCACCAGGACCCTTGGCTTGACTACTGTCTTTATGTCCAAGCTCTTTTCCACAAAATGTGAAAATGACCTCTCACAAGATCACAAAATGCGGGTGGGACCTAGTCTAAATCAGTCTCTGGACACCGAGCCAAAGTCTTCACTGATCCAGCTGCTACAGAACATCTCTCTCCAAAGAACCCGAAATTCATTGCATGCTGCATGATGGCAAGAGCGGTGGTTTTTGCATAACTCACCACTCACCCTCTGATTGTCTTCAAAAGGTGTAAGGGGCTGGAGAGAGAGCACAGCAGGTAGGGTGTTTGCCTTGCACACGGCCAAACCGGGTTCGGATCCCAGCATCCCATATGGTCCCCTGAGCACTGCCAGGAGTAATTCCTGAGTGTAGAGCCAGGAGTATCCCTTGTGCATCGCTCGGTGTGGCCCCCTTGCCAAAAAATAAGGTGTAAGAGTTCCAACTCACTTGGCAGATTTTGCCACATAGAATTGGAGCTGGAAAAATTCTCCTTTTCCTCTGGAAGATTTTGATTGGAGTGGCAGCCACTCCAATTATAATAGGTTTTCATCAGCAGTGAGCCACACTGGGGAGCTAAGGTGCTTGAGCGACTCATGTTCTCAGGGTGTTCAGAGTTTCCCACCCACCACCTTACAAGCTCCTGTCTGGGCTGCTACAGCAGATGCCACCATCTGCCATGGACCTCTGCCACAGCTTCTCTTCAGGCTGTCCCGAGGGTGCAGTTACATCTCATCAGTGTTTTCTCAAGGTTTCTCCTTCATCACAGAGTACTGACTAGCTGACTAGGCTCCTCATTTTCTGTTGGAATCAACAGGCCAGACATGATATCCAGAGGGCTCAGTAACTTGTCTTCTGGAGGAATGTTTTGATGATAAAACCAGTGATGCATGATTGGAGACACTTTGCTTGCACACAGTGCACTCTGCCAGAAAAGTGAGCCATGCCCTAATAGTGCTCTCTAAATGGCCAAATCCTTTGTTGCTTCCAAGAGTTATAAAGAGAAAAATCATAAAGGGAAAGTGAGAAAGATGATGAAGAGAGACTTCGTATTTGAGAAGAAGCAAGAAACTAGTTGTTGATTCATTGTAAAGGAAAAGTATTAAAGTTATAGAACAGGA